TCATTTTTATAAGTTTTATAAGGTTTTTAAAAGGTTTTAAAAGGGTTTATACGGTTTTTATAAGGTTTTTATAAGGTTTTTATAATTTATTTTTACGCTATTTATGAAAAGTGTATAAAGTTTTCGACACATATAAAGGTAATTTGTGTATATATTTATAAGCTTACACACATATTTGGATAAATTTCAACATTTTTAATTGGGTTTTTGATAAAGTTTGAAAATGGGGTATTTTTAAAAAGAGGTATATGAAAAGGGGTATTTTTGAAATTCCCTCTTAAATAAAACTAACTGACAAAAAATAATGCTTATATAATAGAAACGATTGTAAAAAAGCCGAAAAATAAACTCACAAATTGATAGTTGTTGATTTGTTTTCATACAAAGAAATCAAATGACTAAAAAAGAAGAAAATAACAAAAAATTAGGTCTAGATTAGTAAGTCTTTAATTTATATATTAATATATATTTTTTTGGTACATGGATTAATGGGCTTTCTAAAAAAAAGCTGAAAAGTAGTTTTTTTGGTGGGAACAGATTTTGTTTTTAATAATATTTAATAATTTTTTAATATATTTTTTTTTTTTTTTGCTCGTGGCAGCTGCCCCCACCATCTTAGCTGTGGGTCCGCCCCTGGTCCCCCGCTTTCTAAGGCCAAACACTTTCTTCTTTTCACCCTAACACACATTTACACGCATGCATACATTTTTACACCCTATGACGTAACCAAATCGTTTCACCATATATATATCCAATTTACTCAAAAATATAAAAAAAATAGAAAAACAGATTTTGTCATGTCAGAGTTAACAGCTAGTCTTGAAACTTGAATATTCCGATATCATGTAAACAGTAAGATAGTTCTTCTATTATAATATTAACAGAAACACATAGTTCTACTACAATATCTTCTAAAGTTAGGTTTAACAAAAAAAAAAATCTTCTAAAGTTATATAAAAAGATTTTTAAAATGATGTGTTAATCGCAATCACAATTTCAATACTTTCCACGGAGAAAATTCAGTTGGTTCACTGAGATATTATTTTAGCTTTTTACCAAGTTTATAGTAAAAAACAACTCTTGAGAAATTTGTTTATCAAATAACTATTACTTCAAAAATGCAATAATATGGGCATATGTTATATATCGGTATATGCATTCAGTTACAGCATCAACATGTCTATATGTATGCCCATTTCGTGTGCATAACTTACCAACCATATTAAAGTAACACAAAACTGGAGTAACCATCAATGTTAACTTCAAAACCTTCTCATATACCCTAATACGTACCATTAATTAGTTTAACAACTCGACTAAAGTAACAAAAAAATTGGAATAACCATCAATGTTTACTTGATACGATATGTGAAACATTAATTAGTATGTATATTAATACGCTAATTAAAAAGCAAGAAGTAGTCACTCGAACCGGTTAGGTTATGTAAGTACATTTCTCTTGTCTCCTTGGTCCGTGGATGAATTTGCATTATTCGTGGGTAGGAAGAGAGACACGTGTTGGAGGAGTAGAACACGTGCGAACATAGGATCAGTACGTACACGTAACGATCGATCTCATTTTGCGTTCTCGCACGTGCCCTGCTTCTCCATCAAGTGTTACTCATCCATTACATTCCTCTAGCTACCAATTTCGTATCATCAACGTATGAGTAGAGAGAGACAGAGAGAGAGAGAGAGAGGAGGGAGAAGAAGATTGTGTCTGTGTGTGTGTGTGTGTAGAGGAAGAGAGAGTTAAGAATGAGGAGGCAAGGACTTGAGCTTGCTCATTGACGTACATATATAGTGAGTTCAAGTGTTTGATAAAATGAGGCAAAAGTCATAATTAAGACTAAATAATAAAATAAAAAATGGTGGGGAGTGGAATTAAAGTGATTGAGTCTTGGAGTGGGATTTCTTTAAATGTAGATAAGAAGTAAAATGGCAATCATATCACCAAGTCTTTCCACTACTTTAAATGATTCTTTTCTTCTTTTTTCAATTTTATTCAATGGGATACAATACAAGCAAAGAGGCATGTGTGTATGTGTACATAGCTAGACCTCGTAGTTAATGACTAATTTATGTATTTTCCATAACCTCCAGACGTAATTTGACTATATAAATAGTGAAATAGACCAACTAATTAATTTGTGGTTGGTTGGTATATAAACACAATTATATTAAAAAAATGATTATGCAATAGAGAAACATAATTGAGTTTTGACCATATATGACAGGAGTATTATATACAGAAAAAAAGAAAAAAGAAATTTCAATTGGGTAGCTTGTAAGAATAGTTATAATTCCTATATTTTTAAACATTCCCTAAAAATAAAAATAAAAAGAAAAATGAAATAGTTTTTAACTACGCAATGTGTTATGTAATATAGAGACAGACAGTAAAGATAGGGTTGAGATGAGTTTTGGGTCAGTTTATGTCTACTTCCTGCCGCCGAATCCAAGTTCAAGTGTCACTTAAGTTTTTTTTCTTTTACTTCTTTGTGATGTCACTACCATATGTAATTATTATAAATGTGCTAAAAACAAATTATGAGACATCTTTACGCATATTTGCTATCATTTGTGCATCATTCATGTATATTCAAAATTTTCGTCATGTGAACGTTTTGTAATTTCTACGAGCTAGTTTGGTCTTTAAGAAACTTCTTTGATAGAATGTGGTACATATTACATCATGCTAGAACTCAAAAGTGTCTTCATTTTTGAACAATTATCTTCTAAAACAAAATTTGTTTTATCTACGGATAATAAAAATATTCGAGATTAAAAATATGATACGGTCTAACTTTTCAAATAAATTTTTATCTAAAGTTTCAAGATTCATGGGTATTTTATTTATTTTTATTTATAATCCACTTTTATATATGATTTTTGAAACTCCTCAATTGTATATTTCTCATTTTTACATTAATTAGATATAAATATAAAAACACAATTATATACGGAAAAAAACATACCGACTAATTCCCATCAAATTATTGTTTGGTTAGGCACTAACTCTTTCTAAAATGATTTACTAAACCCTAGCAAAAAGTTTTAAACATGTGCATTTTATCATTTTATGTATTGTTCACTTTCTCAATTGGAAAGTTTCTTTTATAAAAAAAGTGAAGAAGAAGAGAGAAATGAAAGAAGAAGAAGAAGAAGATGATGATGAGGTTGATGGAGACAGTGAGTGAGAGTGACACACAGAAAAGAATGGGTTGCGTGTTCCTCGCGAGTTTTCTTCTCTCTTTTTCTCTCTTTTTTTTTTTTATTTTACCCTCACAAGAAAAGAAAAAAAAAGAGAAAGATCCCACAACACCACAAAACCATAAGTCCATAGATATTAGAGAGACAGAGACTTTGTTGTATTTGCATAGTTCCAATGCAATTCTTTCTTCTCCCTTTCAATCATTTAGTATTTGTTATATATTCTCCTTCCTTCCTCTATGCTCTATGTATCTTTATAACATTCACATACTTGTCGACTCTATAGTCATCGGACACAACAATGGGATGCAATAATCTATGTTGTAACACTTTTTTCTATAAGAGTTTTTAATGATATGATGATAAATTAATACCCATTGGTTTAGATGGGTAACAATTATCTATAAGGACCATTGTTATTAAAAAAAATAGTGCTAGAAGTTTGGTAAGTTAAAGTAAGAACTTAGTTAAGCATATATATTTTACATTGGTGTCAATTCGAGTTTGATTGCTACATGTTTAAAAGTATGAGCAATCGAATCTTAGATAATAGATTTTCTCATGATATATATGAAAAAGAAAGGGTCACACAAAGAAAAAGAAAATAAAAATTAAAAAGAAGATATTTGTATAACTAAAAAAAGATTATACTTTTTATAAGAGAAAAGAAAAAGATAAAAAAAGAAAAGTGGAGGATTGGTGAAGTTGACACAGTCACTTACTGGTGAAGGGGAAGTAGTAGTAGAAGTGAATATGAATCGTTCCCCCATGTTTTATGGGTTTGGTGTTTTCTACCTCTGACGTTGTTGCTTTTAACACACTCTCTCTCTCTCTCTCTCTCAATCTCTCGTTTCCATTTTTACATTTTACCTTCTTTTTTATTTTTTCTTAAACTCACATTCTCATACCACACAAAGCACACTCCCAAATTTAAGATGAGATCATGCATTGTGTAAGAATTGTGATAAATATTTGTTTTTCAGAGGAAATACTAGATGCGTTAGTTGGAAAGCATTTCAAATTCGGGATAGACAGTGTGGTGGCCCTTCCGCGAGAAGTCTACTCTGAAGCACTTTAGTGTGTTTCTACCAGGACTGACCGGATCAGCTGATAAAATTTATAAAATATATATATATATATATATACTAGATGCGTAGACTAAAGCAAATACGGATATTTGCGGATAGCATATATTTAATCTCATACATATATTCGTCATATATGTCATTTTACTATTTGTATCCGTATTTGTTTTTTATAGAGCAAACACCATATGGGAATACATTAATCTGCCGATAGCATATATTAATCCCAAACCTATGTCTGGATAGTATCCAGACTAAAACTATATGCTAAAGATATAAAATCTATAATTTTTTAACTATCACTTTGATAAGCATTTTTAAAAAATTTGGATAACAAAAATACTCTTGTAAGTTTATATTTTTAAAATTTGTTTTGAAACCACTGAATCGAACTAGGTTAAAAAAAAATTGAGATTGAAAGAAAGAAAAATTGAAAATGCCTTTTTGTTTACAGTTTGCGAGCTAATGAAATCAGTTTGAGTACAAAGTATTTGGAAGTAGTTTTATTACTTCTGTTATTGTTCACTTCTCTTTTTAGTCTCAACTCTTAACCCTTTGATTTCGTTTCATAATATGAATGAACAATGTCGTTTTGACTTTTGAATGAGTTGGATTACTCATCTTCATGCTTCATGGGCATAGCCCATAACAATCAATTTGTATGGGCCTTACTTCTTATCACTGCACCATACATTAGCCAGATTGCATTTTTGTCTCATTTGCCATCTCTCTAAACCAGTTTGTTATATTAATCGAGAAAAGATTTTGTAAGAAATAGACTCCATGGAAAAATCTCAAGTGTTGCAAACACCAAAAGAAAAAGAGTATTACTTCAATCAAACTAAATAAATATCTAACACAAAACTCAAGATAATTGAAGAATCAAAACCAAACACCAACAGGGAGAGAAGAACAGCACTACTGGTTTTTTAATCTTCTTCCTCGGCTTCGTTCTCAGCAATGTTGAAGTATCTCAACTCATAAAGGTTACGGTCCTTGTTTGCCGCAATCACTCTGAGCCAATCCCTCACATTGTGCTTCTTCAAGTACTTCTTGGTCAAATACTTGAGATATCTATCACACACAGAAAAACAAAGAACTACATTCAGCAAACAATCTTTAAATCAGAATCAAACAATGCCATATACTCAACTCTACAAGTTAAAATAAATTCAAGATTCTACAAGCAACAAGATGAACAAAAGCATTTACCAAAACTATTCAAGAATCTACTTTCAACATTGAGCCAACCAACAAGATGAGCACAGAACATTACCAAAACAATCAAGATTCTACAGTCAACATTATAACAAGAACCAAGATGATCATAAGCATTACCAAAACTATTCAAGATTCTACATTCAATATCTTGAGCCAAAGCAACAAGATGAGCACATAACATTACCAAAACAATCAAGATTCTGCAGTCAACATTGTAACAAGCAACAAGATGATCATAAGCATTATCAAAAACTTTATAAATAAACAACACTCAACTCCTCAGCGATAAATCAAAGATTCTACAGTCAACACTGTACCAACCAACAAGATAACCATAAGCAATACCAAAACTATACCTACACATCACAGCCCCAAACATAGACACAAGTTTAACTCAACATTGAAGAATCAAGGGTTCAAGTAAAATGATACCTCTTGGAGAATTGACCATCAGAAGTAACAGTGATCTTGCTCTTCTCACGAGTGATAGTAACAGAATCACCAAGAGCACCAGCTTTGCCACCAACCTTAATCCTCTCCTGAAGAAACTTCTCTAGAGAAGCAATCTCCATGATCTTGTCATCCACAGGCTTCGAACAATCAATAGTGAAGGACACTCCCTTCTTCTTCCCCTTAGCTACTGCTGCACCACCGCGACTCATTTTCACCTCTACAAATCCAAAACCAAAAATGTCAACAACAATACTAAAAATTTTCGAATCTGAATCGATTCCATTTCCATGGAAACAAAAGCTAAACAACGAGACGAATCGATTCTAGGGAAGATATTGAAGACCATGTAAGATTAACGAAGGACGATAATGGCGTTACCTGAAGCTGTAGGAACTGTATGAAGCGAGTGGCGGCGTCTATTGATCTTTGAAAGAGAGACGAAGAAGAAGAAGAAGCGTTTAGGGTTGTTTCGGTTTTAAAGGTGCTCGTGCCATTTTGTTATGATAAATGACAGAAGTGACCCTGATCTATTTGTTTAATTGACAAATACCCCAAAAACTTTCAGATTTGATTCAGAAATCCAAAATTTGTAAATGGGTATATCTGGAATGGGCCGAAAGGGCTCTTGATCCAAATTGATTAATTTATATAATCTTTGTTGTTTTCATTGATGTAGATTCTTTTTTTTCTTTTTTTTACAACACAAATCTTATTTTATTTATATAAATTTGAATAATTATAGTTTGAATCAATAATATATAATTTAAATATCATGACATCCATAAGATATGTTTAAATTAGCTAGTACTAATAATTAGTTAAATATATATGATAACAACATATTTTGTAATAAATTATGAGCTAAATTAAAACAAAAATATTAAATCAAAACATCGAATACTTTATTTTGCTTTTCAAACTCCAAATGTCTTCTCAATTACATATCACAAAATTGAATGCTTTTGTTTGAACAGCTCTTGTTTGTATGTTTTAGGATGAACACCTCTCGTGCAGTTACTGTTGAAACTCTATTAGCAAATTGACCATATTAATATTGCATATGGACCAAAAAACCTATTCTAATAGAATATTCAGAATCAATCATATAGTATTTTCCACTAGTTTTTAAGTGGTTTTTGGTTTTTAGACCTTAAATTGTTGTAGATTTTGAAGTCGAATTTGGTTTTAAATTTTTAAAAGTTCACTTTATAGTCTATCAAGAAATTAAACTATGTATAAAAAGAAATACGAAAATTTCAAGAGTGTATATAGAAGGAAAATGATTTTTTTTCTTTTTTGGACAAATAGAAAGAAAATGATTAAGCTTGTGTTTTTGTTCTTAATAGCTTAATACACAATAAAACCGTAAAATCAAAATTAAAAGGTAAAAGAAACAGTTCAATTTTATATTCTTAAAAGTTTTTTTTTTCTTTTGAGGATATAAAATGTTGGGAAACATAGGATCTGAGACAAAAAAAAAAAAAAAAACTTTCCTCGCGGCAAAGAAAAATAGGAACTTTAGCCATCAGTGTATAGGCTTCATCAAGCTTCTTAAGGCGAACGAGTGCCTCAACTTTGGACATGTATAAAAGCGGACATGAATCTGCCCCGGAGTTTCTTGCTGCTTCTGATTCTTCGATAACCGAACCCCATTCTGATCGACCTCTAACTTCCATGCAAATATACTTGTGGTTTCTGAATTTTTTTACCTGACTCGAAAGACGTTCGTACTCAGCTGAGTCTCGAGAAAGATGTCCAAGAAAATCTTCTACAACATTCAAATCCCCAGTTTTGATATAGAGGGTGATCACAAAGACATTTTGCACCGCATCATGGTTATCGTCCAATGATTCTAGGCAGGCTCTGATTACGCCACCTAGATCTCCTTTAGTGGCAAGTTCAAAAGCGAGACGAGCCTCAGCCTCTGCCTTCTGTTGAGGATCCATGGGTGTTTGAATGTACTCATTGTACCTTTAAACAAAATTAGAAGTGGAATTTTTTTTTACAAAAGGCATCTCTCATAACTTTATTATGTAAACATGGGAAAAGCTTAGCTTACTTAATCAAAAGCTCCTTGTAGATATTCTTCAGCTCCAAGTTGTTTATATCTTCTTCCCTCATTTCAATCATGTTCATAAAGGGAAGTAAGATATTTCCTTGGTTGTCTTCGCAGTAGCAACCAAACAAGCAAATCCGAACCTACCAAATATATCAGTATAATAAAATTATATTCCATAACAAACCACACTGCAAAAAAGAGGTCAGATGTGCTCACTTGTTCCAGGATAAACGCATATTTCAAATCCATAGCTATATCACCGAACAGTAATTCCACCTGTATTATATTCATAGGCCTCAGATCAAAAAACAAGCAAAAATATATACATTGTATATTTAATGAGAGATGATTTAGATGGCTTACATCAATACCAAGTATCAAATCTATGGCTTCAGCTACGGAACCCTCCTGCTACTTGATGTTTGCAGCCATCTTTGCTTGGCGGGCCAAGTTAATGACATGATCCTCCAGTCTCTCCTCAGAATCTAAGAGATTTTGAATCAACGAAGCGAGTCTAACTTCAACCTAATAAAGAATGAATCCTTTATTAAATCAAAACATCGAATCCTTTATTTTGCTTTTCAAACTCCAAATGTCTTCTCAATCACATATCACAAAACTGAATGCTTTTGTTTGAACAACTCTTGTTTGTATGTTTTAGGATGAACACCTCTCGTGCAGTTACTGTTGAAACTCCATTAGAAAATTGACCATATTAATATTGCATCTTACAATATGGACCAAAAACCCTATTTTGATAGGATATTCGGAATCAATCATATAGTATTTCCCACTAGTTTTTAAGTGGTTTTTTTTAGACCTTAAATTGTTGTAGATTTTGAAGTCGAATTTGGTTTTAAATTTTTAAAAATTTATTTTATAGTCTATCAAAAAATTAAACTATGTATAAAAAGAAATACAAAAATTTCAAGAGTGTATATAAAAGGAAAATGATTGTTTTTTCTTTTTTGGACAAATAGAAAGAAAATGATTAAGCTTGTGTTTTTGTTCTTAATAGCTTAATACACAATAAAACCATAAAAATCAAAATTAAAAGGTAAAAGAAACGGTTCAATTTTATATTTTTAAAAGTTTTTTTTTTCTTTCGAGTATATTTCCCCCCCCCCCCAAACATATTCCCCCCCTGCTAATCCCCATACATATTTAGTTTGAGTATGTACTGTTAGAAAAAAAAAACTTATGTGTTTGCGAATGCGTACCTGATTTATTTAAAACGTTATCTCTGAAGTAGAGATACATATGTACTTATTATTACTTTATATAAGTTCTAGTTAGTTTCTACTGGCTAGAATACATCTTGACATCTTGTTAACGGAAAAACAAAAACACAAGAAGTGAAGAAACGTATGAAATGATTCAATGGAACATATTGTCTCAGTAGAAAAGAATACTAGAACCATACTGTCCCAAGTTGACAAACTCATATAGTGTATTCATAACACAATGTCCCCTCTACCATCAAATTGTTTTTTTTTATCTGGCCTTGTGTTGGTTCCATCATGGATCGAACTCAAGAACCGTCCTTCAACTGTAGCAGTTCTGAAATGAAATTATTAAAACTTGATTGAATCGTGTAGTTACGATGTGTAATCTTCTCACAGCAATGCAATTTAGATTAGCCCCTTGAACCGCCACATATCATAATGGTTTTCGATATCACTTGTGAGGTTTTAGTCCTATGAATCACGTCACTCACCTATTCAAATCAACTACAAAGCCTTCTAATTTTAAGAAGTTCTCTTACCACAAAGGCACAAACCATCGCTAAAAGGAGCTTGCAAAGCTTTGTAACAGACCTGTACTACAATTGAAAAGAGTTTACACGGTTAGTCTCAAAAATTTTAACTGAGGATTGTAGAGCTTTACCCCGAAGGGAGCTCTTCCAGAAATTCTCGAAGGCCCAAGACGAGCTTAGGCCCAGGAGGGGGTATGGAAATAGTTTTCAACCAGCAATAGACGCGCCTCGGTTAAGACCTCATTAGCTGCGTCATTGCCCCAAGCGCAAAGATGAGTTGCTACAAAGTGAGAGCCTCCTTATTTATACCCACACAATGCACATCAACTTTAGACTTTGTTCTTAAGTCTAAGCTCCAGTTATATTTTAAAGTAACACTGCAAAAACAGAGCAATAATATAGAAGAAACGTTGAAAGTTAAAACTAAGTATGGTAGGGGCTGCGCGGACGCAAACACCCTCTGCCACAAATAATGACGCAGGCTCTTCCTCAAGGGAAGACCTTAAGCTTAGCACCCCACGTTATGTGCAATGTGGTCACTAGCCTAGGCCACTCGTCTTCTTGATCACGAGTTGACCCCGGCCAGGTAAGTAATTCGGTAGATCCACCTGCTTCTCTATTTATACTCCTGATTCCCTTGTCATGGCTTTGGGTCAGAGCGATGTGGGACTTTTCTTTATTAAAACATCCTGACGTTTGAAGCGCCTGGTTTCCAACAGCGTGCTGGTTTCTCAAAACTTCCTGAGTTTTTGTGTTGTACACATGGGCCGAACGCTTTAGGCCCAATCTAAGTGCTCGGACCTGGAAAGTGGAAACTGTCAACATTTTTAGATGAGGGAAGACGTACATGAGACAACTATGGAATTATGCAAATTTGTGATAAACAAAACGACCAGGCTAACTAACTTGGGTACATGCCAAACCAGCCAAAGCGATACAAATAACGAAAATAATCCCACAAGAATGGCAACGGCAGGCTACATCTCTCAAGTTAGTAAAGGACTTGCTCGATTCAAGTGGAAGAGAGTGGAGAGAGGATCTCCTCACAGTCTTGTTCCCAGAGGAAGTTGTAAATCATATTAAAAGCATCAGACCAGGGGGCAGCAAAACTATAGATAAGTTTGCATGGGACTTCACAAAAAATGGTCAATACACGGTAAAATCGGGCCACTGGGTACTTTCAGATATCATCAAAAGGAGGAACATACCCCATGAAGTGATCCAACCAAGCATAAACCCGATCTTCCAACGGGTGTGGCACACTGATACATCTCCTAAGGTACAACATTTCCTCTGGCGGTGCTTAAGTAATAGTCTCTCTGTGGCTGGAAATATGTTTTATAGACATCTGGCTAGGGATGGAACATGTATGCGATGCTCATCAGGATTGGAGTCAGTTAATCACTTACTATTTCAGTGCCACTATGCTCGACTTGTATGGGCATTATCTCCAATCCCAGCTCCACCAGAAAGTGAATGGTCAGATTCCATCTACTATAATATGCATAGAGTCCTCAATATTCATGAATTCCACCCTCAGCTTGAGAAGGATAGGAATATAGTTCCCTGGATTTTATGGAGATTATGGAAAAGTAGAAATGATTCTATCTTCAAAGGCAAGGATTATGATGCGCAAAGTGTTCTAAGAAGAGCCAGCGAAGATGAGGAGGAATGGAAATGGGGTAAAGAAAAACAAAACCAAACATCTCAAGTGGTTAGAGCAGAAACTCAAGAGACCAAATGGAAGCCACCACCACAGAATTGGGTTAAGTGTAATACTGATGGAGCTTGGAATATAGAGAGACCTACCTGTGGTATTGGTTGGATCCTTAGGAATCATGATAAGGAGGTGCTGTGGTTAGGTGTACGGGCTTTACCTAGGGTCAATACGGTGCTAGAAGCGGAATCAGAAGCACTTCGTTGGACGGTGATATCAATGATGAGATTAAACTACCGAAATGTATTATTTGAATCTGATTCACAACAGCTTGTGTCTTTAGTTAAAGGAGAATCTGAGATGCAACAGGTAGATCCCATTATACAAGACATCAAGCAGATGCTTCAGCACTTTCAGGGAGTAAAGCTTACCTTCATCAAACGGGAGAGTAATGGAGTGGCAGATAGAATTGCAAAGGAGTCTTTTTCTCTAGGGAATAATGATCCTATATTGTATTCTATTACGCCAAGTTGGTTAAAGTCTCAGGTGGAGATAGATAATGTGTAAACAATTTATGGTTAATGCAAAGTTGATGTTGAGCCAAAAAAAAAAAAAAATAACAAAATAACAAAATTTATTCATTTTAGTTTCTGTACGCTAGCTCTTACATAGTTATGTCGTTTCAAAGAAGAAAAAAGAAGGATTGAAGAAACATTAAAGTTTTTCATTAGCTATTACATATATGCCTAAAATAACAGAATAGGCGTGAGCCATGAATCATGATATGATGATAAGGGGATCATCTAGTCCTTATTTAAGTTATCAGGCTTCAGGAATTTTGGGATACGATCAGTGGCTCCAGATTTGTGATCATAGTACTCCACTGCAGCTGCTCCGGCTAGAGCGGCCAATGTCAGCGCCTGTGCATGTAACCTGACAATATCATCCAATACAGACATGTTTGAGAGATGTGAATGCCAAAGAAGAATCGAAAGATCATCATCATCATCAAGGCACAGTAAAGAAAAAATCTAAGAAAAGATTAATGAACTGAAATGGTCAGATATTGATGTATATTCAATAGCTAAGTACACGTTTTCAAGTACAAAACACGCATACGAGCGATCATATACATGATAGACAGGTGCTGTTAACCGATGATTTGTCTAGCAACACAGAACATATGGGAAACAGAGCAGCTCATAGTAAAGAATGAAAGATATGAGTTCTAAAAATGAGGATTCCACATTTAACCAGTGAAGAAATGAAGCAAAAAACAATATAGAAACTGAAGATCATGCTTTCTCATGCATCAGTTTTCAATTTTCATTAACAGAGACTGTTTGTGACTATGCAAAATGTTCTTGGTATGATGAGAATACATAACAAAGTTACTTTGATGCACATCAAAAGAAGATCAAAGAATCAGATTCTTCAACTTGAATGATCTACAGGTTTTGGCCATTACATATCTTCTACCATCTAACAAAGACTATAACACCAAGATTTAAAAGAAACATCAATAGGAGCATTAAGATTAGAAAAAAAGTACCTAGCGTGGATGATTCTGACACTGGTTTTCATTGCAGGTTTTGACCAGTTATAGGCGATTGATCCAGAGATACCACTTAGCCATAAACAACCTATCAACAATTCCAAAATTCAGAACCACCAAAATTTGTATTAGAACAAACACAAAAACTCAAACATGCTTGAATGCTTCATCAAAACAAAACCCTAAAATAATCAAAAACTGAACCAGAGACACAATTAAGCCATGAACAACTTAGCAAGCGTCCAATTCAGAACCAACAAATTTGAATCAGAACAAACTACAAAAACTCATACATGCATCCTCACATTCGATTTTGGAAACAAAAAAAAACCCTAAACAATCAAAACTTAAACCACAGATACTTACTACTAAGCCATAAACAACCTATAGCAAGATTCCAAAAAATTTTACATAACTCAGATCCAAAAAAAAATTCAGATCTGAGGAATCACTCAAATCTAATAAGAACGATGAAACAACACGAAACTCGATTTATGTATTCTTCTTATTACGCCAAAAGCACGCTACGAGAATAATTTTGTTGGACGAAGATGAACACAGAGAGATGAGGAGAACAAAAAAAAAAAACGAAGAGTGAGATTTACCAACGGTACGAAGCTTGTGTTCGATGATCCATTCTCTGACTTCTGCAAATTTCGTCTTTGATTCCGCCATTGTTGAATTTTAAGAATTTGTATAGAGAGAGAATAAAGAAAGCGTCGGAGTCGGAGGCGTTGGTTTTAAAGCGTTCGAAGAAGAGAAAGCCAATTTGCTAACTTGCGCTTCATTTTTGCTAATTCGTTTTTTTTTTCCATGTTTTAAAAATTGTTAAGCGCTAGTCGGTCGGTCGAGCTAGCATCAAGCAAAAAATTTGAAGGTTTAAATGCAAATTAATGGGAAACTAGTTTTAAAATTATGTTATTAAATAAATAAGAATAATAAATATATAGTATTAATTATTTGTATAGTTCGATTTCTGTTAATGAAAAAATACAATATAACATACAAAACTATAATATTGGTTTCAAAACTATAGTAAATATATAAAAATATATTTTTAAAGCTAAATGTATGTTTTTCATTAAAAATTTGAACATAAATTATTATAAAATATCGTAACTTCTAAATTTAAATGTTTAATAACCGAGAAAAAGAGATAAATAGAGATTAGTTATTAATCAAAGCGGATATAATAGATTTAGCGATTACACGAAGAATAATTGGATCTAGGCGGAGAGTTTTTAAACAGGGTATTTTATTAAATTAACTGTAAACATTAACTTGCGCTACTTTTGACCCCAAATGAAAAATAATAAATTAAAGTCAAAACATTCGCTAATTGACTCTTATTTTTTTTATTGACTAACAAAATCCAACTAGATCCTTCAGCTGAATCATTTCTGCTCAACGATGATTTGACATCTTGGAGAACGTTTCGTGAGTTTATCAAGATCCTCGTACACATCTGAATCCGAAGCATAACGAGGATAGTGCAGGATAAAACTCACAATGAGTTTCTTGAGAACTACAGAGTTTTCAAGAAAGTAACTCGCAATCTTCTTCTCCTCTTCCTCCCATTCTAACAATTCTTTAATCTCAACACATTCTAGAGTCGATACCAAACACTTCGGCGCGTTTACGAGGTTAAACTCTTCCATATCCTCCTTTGCAAAAGCAATTTTCTACAAACATATAGACCGGATGACTTCAGTTATTCACACAATATTGTTAAGCCAAAATGTGAAAATGTTCTTTACCATGGTAAGGGTTTTCAGATTTGGGAAGCTCTCAAGAAAGGTTGGTAAAACCGATAACAGGGAGCTTGGGAACACAAGCTGTAAACGGGTTACGTTATTGAATTTGGGAATTGATCCTACTTTCGAGTAACGATCAAGCGCCTGCGACAAAAAGAAAGAAGATACATGTAAGAGTTGTCCGATTCGAGAAAGACTATTAGTATAAAGTTTATACCTTGACTGTTTTCTTAGAGAAGATCATATGTCTTGCTTTAGATATCCCAGTGAGAAAATCACTAATTTCATTTCTCTTAGACAAGTCCTCTGGATCAAATTGCTTGAGGGAAAACTTGATATCAAGTTCAATCATGATCAAGGAAGTCAGGTTCTTTACTAGGACTCTTTCGAAATGGTCTTCATTGAGAGTCAAATACTCTAGTCCTGGAGCATCAATCTCAAGAAGTGTGTTTACAACTCTCGACCAAGAATTAGTTCCATGTGCTAAGGGAACATAAAACTTCTTCAAGCTCCGAGATCTCACACGCGTAACCAACGATTCATCCTCATCTATTGCCCTTATTAAGATCAGTTCTTCAAGAACAGGACATCCAGATACGAGCTTTTCAAGATTCATAGTACCAGAGCATCTAACTTTTTCAAGAATCATGAATTTAAGACAAGGCATAGAAACAAAACCCGGATCCTGAAAAACCGAAAACTTGAGCTTTAAAGAAACCAATGTCTTGCTGGTAAACAGATCCAGAGGCATGAACTCCCAATAAGGATACCAAGAGCCATCTTCTTCTCGATATTCCGTACTGCTCACTGCATCAAGAAATCGAATCCCGCGGTTAATCGCAGTACCGATCCTGTCCTTGAACCCGACTATCTCACTGCTACTGTAATCAACCTTCACTTTTTGCAAACGTGACTCAGGATTAGAATCGAGAAACCTGTCGACGAAGTTAACGAACACTTGTTCGTCAACATTACAGAAGTCATTGCGGTTTAAGTCAAGTCCAGGAACGTTTAGCCACAGATTCTTCCATCTTGTCGACAAAACACTCGTCTTAACCGAATCTTTGGTCGGAAGACATAAGAGTATTTGAGTGATCAAATGTTCTGGTAACTCGCTGAGTCTATCGAAACCAGGCATCACGAGACACAAACCCTAAAGAGAGCATTAACATAAAACAACAAAAACAACAAAACAGTGTAACTTGATCAAATCCTAGGGCGTTGAGTTATATATATAGAGATTAAAGTCAAGGTACGTTATAAAAGACTCACCGTGGATTTGATTCTCCGGCGAGTTAACGAGCGACCACTGGAGTTGTTGCTTCAGAGAGGCTAAGCGATAAAAAACGTATCGATCAAAAACCCTTGTTCTATAGTAATTTATATTCATATGAAACGGTTCTTCCTAATTTTTAATTTGCGTTTCGAGAAAACGAAACGGTTGATATTAATTAATTCTTAAACGCAATTTAGAAAACGCGAATACATGCGGATCTTGGTTTAGCTTTCCTATAATCAGGATTTGGAAATCTCACTATTAAAAATAAAAATATTCTCTAGACTCCAAGCAATCATTTGGAAAATCTTACCAAACACACACAAAATTTAAGTTTTTACTTCCAAATTTAGCACACGATCTCCTATTCTCTAAAATTAGCATCATATATCAAACTTAAATCATAAACTCTAAACAATAAACTCTACCCGGAGCCGGAACCTAGCTTAACCAAGCTAAAACGTCAGGTTTGGAAGGTAAAACCATCGAGAAAAATTAAACACTTCCTTTGGCAAGCGTTCGCGGGCTGTGTGGCTGCTAATAACCCCCTAGCTGATCGTCACTGTGGAACTGATCGTTCATGTCCAAGATGTGGGTCGGCGGTGGAATCCATTAATCATGTTTTGTTCCAATGCCCCCCGGCGAAGCAAGTATGGGCCTTATCTAATATCCCGACCTCTCCGGGACTGTTCCCGAGTGATTCACTTTATGCTAACATGGACTTCCTCCTCTGGAGAGCAAATGATTGGGAGGTGACAGAAGAACAACTAGAGGTGTTCCCTTGGATTTTTTTGGTATAATTGGAAGTCAAGAAATGATAAAGTTTTTAACAATAAAGACATCCAACCAACCGAGACGCTGGCGTTAGCTCTTTCGGAGTCTCTGGCTTGGAAAGTGGCACATGTAATGGAACTACAAGAGGAATCTGAAGAAAGCTTTCATGAAGAATCTGAAGAAATCTAAGAGATTATGGGAGCGGTAAAATGCCAAATTGATGCATCGTGGGATGGACAGGACTTGTTTTCAGGACTTGGGTTTGTGTTAAACGGAGAAATAAACCTTTTTGGGAGCAAGGGTACGAACAAGTTTCTCTCGGCCCTCCATGCTGAACTAGGTGCGTTAATTTGGGCAATGGAATCAGTCCTTCATCACGGCGAATCATCGGTTCATTTTGAAACCGATTGTTTAAGTATCCTCAAGATCACGGATGAGTTTGAAGAATGGCCTATTTTTTCCACGGAGTTGGATATTTTTGTCAGTTTAAGAGATAATTTCTCTGTGTTTTCAATAGCTTATATCCCTAGAAACAATAATGTCCGTGCTGATCGCCTTGCAAAATGCGCTCGTGCACGAGGTGTAGTTTTTTCCCATGTAAGTTCTCAGGTTCCGGAGTGATTGGCTCACGAGGCTAACCTTTTCGAACCTGCTTAACAATATATGGAGTTTTTGAGGTCAAAAAAAAAAAAACCCAATAAACTCTACCCCTAAGAACTAGAACCTTAATGTAAAATAGTCAACCCAACCTTGAAAAAAATACTACCAAATGATTTAAAATATTATAATTTTGTTAATTATTGTTCTTTTTGGAAGTTTATGGAGTGTATGCTATAACTGTCCATAAAACATCTTTTGGTGTATTTTTGAAAATGAAGATTTATTTCAAAAATGTATTTCAAAAATATTAGTATAGATAAAATGTTGTTTTTATACTTTAAAACTAGGATAGGACCTGTTAAGAATTTTCAATCGAATGTTATATAATTTGTAATAAAATAAAAATATACATAAACTATTGTGAATGGTTACATTTATAAATTCTGCACAATGATAGTGTATGTTTTGATGGACTAATGTTTTAGTGTATGTTTTGATAGACTAATCTATAAAACATTTCATTCATAAAAACAATATACGAATGTGAGTTTTTATTTTTAATTGGACCCATCCCGGATTATCCATTTTCAAAATACCCAATATGCTTCTATTTTACTAATATAGAGATAGATATTACGCACAAGAAATTTAAGAGTGGTTATTGTAACTTTGAATACAGTTTGGCTTTATGTTTTTGACTAGTAAAAGAGTGCTTGAGACGCCAAAAGAAAGAGATTAGTCTTATGGTCAATCATCAACAAGGGCACTAGGGATGAAGCTATATACATTGATTTTTACTTGTGTGTTTGTATTCTAGTATAAACGTTGATGTAACATTTGGGTTGTAACTTGTAAGGTTTATAGAATGTTGAGAGATCGTGTAAGCATGTAACTCAATCATCAACGTTGATGTGTCAACTGGCTTGTAAATAATGTACGGGTAACGTGGATAGCTATATATAAAATTGAAAATGGCTCGTAATGTCCTCTAAACGTTCTTGCACGTCTCACAAAGACATGCTTACATGATCTAGTTGGATGGTATAGTTGTACTTAGAGAAAAGCTTTGCTATATAAACCTATGCACCTATTCTTAACAATACAACCCAAAACAAGAAACATTTACCAACGTAGTTAGACGTTGGCAGAGATAAAAGCTATATCACAATGAGATCTTCTTCTAGGATGGGGCCTTCTGCCCATCTCATTTCTACTCTAGGAGTTATTATCATGGCAACAATGGTTGCTGCATACGAGCCATATACGTATAGTTCTCCACCACCACCGTATTCTTCTCCGTCGCCTAAGGAAGAATATAAGTCTTCTCCACCACCATACGTTTCTCTACCACCACTACCTTATATCTCCCCATCACCGGAAATTGACTATAAATCTCCCCCACCACCATATGTTTACAGTTCCCCACCACCACCACCATATTATTCTCCATCTCCTAAGGTTGAGTACAAGTCTCCTCCACCA